TCACTGTGTCACCCAAGCTGGAGTGCAGTGGCATGATCATAGCTCACTGTAGCCTTGATCTCCGCCTCAGTCCTTGAGCAGCTGGAACACAGGCTTATGCCACCGTTGGAATTTTCTGAGGGATAGGAGGGTCTTTGATTATTCATAAGAGCTCTTTCTGATCACATCTGAATTTATAGTAATGAAGTAACTTATGGTAGGACCTTTAGATAGCCTCAGGATGGTGCTAATTATTAGACAAGTAATTAAGAGGATTGGAAATTCAGGTTCATCCATGAACTGGGAAGGAGGTTGAGGGCAGGCACCTGGAGATGAAGCTCTATACCAACTCTCAAACAACAGATTCAATGATCTGGGCTGGTGAACACATTCATGTGCCACAAGGGTGGTTCACCTCAACTCTACCCAGACAGAAGATTCTGTGCTTGGGACCCTCTGGACTTTACCCTATGTACCTGTTCATCTGTTTCCTTTGTAATAAATCAAAAACATATGAGATCTGACAATTAAGTTTGCAAACTCATCCTAGAAAAAGTGCTACATACCTCATTGCTAAATATCACTATGGTCACCTTCAAAGTACTCTCCTTGGTAAACTGGCAACCAATGCCAGCACCTAGTTCCCCCTTCAGAGCAATTTGGAACTCTTTCTGGAATGGTCATCAGAATTGTCATCATATTACACTTGATGTCCTGAATGCCATCAAAATGTCTCCCTTTCAATATTTCCTTTATCTTTGGATAAAGACAAAAGTCATTGGGGGTCAGATCAGATGAGTAGGGAGGGTGTTCTAATATAGTTTGTTGGGCAGCACCTGTGGCTCAGTGAGTAGGGCACAGGCCCCATATACCAAAGGTGGTGGGTTCAAACCCGGGCTTGGCCAAACTGCAACAAAAAATAGCTGGGCATTGTGGTGGGTGCCTGTAGTCCCAGCTACTCAAGAGGCTGAGGCAAGAGAATCGCCTAAGCCGAAGAGCTGGAGGTTTCTGTGAGCTGTGACGCCATGCACTCTACCAAGGGTGATGAAGTGAGACTCTGTTTCTAAAAAATAATAATAATAATATAGTTTTTTTTATTGGCCAAAACTTTCCCATAGACAGTGCCCTATGAGCTGGTGTATTATTGTGATCCAAGAGCCATGAGTTGTTGGTCTCCCAGAGTGCGAGGATTACAGGCGTGAGTCACCGTGCTCAGCCTCATTGCTGGCTTTTAAAACATTCCTTAAACTAATGTTCATATCAAGGATATGATATCATGTCCTTGTAAAGTCTGTACGACATTCCAGTGTCTGAAAGTACTATGATTTATTTAACCTAGTTCTCCACTGATAATGTATTTAAGTTGTTTTTGTTTGTTTTTGTAGAGACAGAGTCTCACTTCGTTGCCCTTGGTAGAGTGCTGTGGTGTCATAGCTCACAACAACCTCTAGCTCTTGGGCTTAGGCAATTCTCTTGCCTCAGCCTCCTGAGTAGCTAGGACTATAGGCACCTGCCATAACACCTGGCTATTTTTTGGTTGTAGTTGTCATTGTTTGACAGGCCCAGGCCGGGTTTAAGCCGAGCCACTGAGCTACAGGCGCCAAGATGAGAAATTCCTAATTTTTAGGTAATTGAATTTATCTATTTTGAACTTATAAATTTCATGTCACACTCTGAATTATTTTTTAAATCCTCCTGTGCCTTTGTTTTTACCCCTTATTTTATTTTATATTTTGAGATAGGGTTTTACTGCAGTGGTATTATCATAGCTCACTATAACCTCAAACTCCTGGGCTCAAGAGATCTTCCTGCCTCAGCCAACTGAGAAGCTGACATTTCAGGGATGTGGCACAGTGCCCAGATAATTTTTCTGTTTCTTGTAGAAAAGGACTATAGGAGTCTACCACTTGTCCAGCTATTTTGCTAAAGATGGGGTCTCAGTCTTGCTCACGCTGGACTCCAATTCCTGACATCAAGCAATCCACCTGCCTTGGCCTCCCAGAGTGCTAGGATTACAGGTCTGAGTCACTGCACCCAACCTGTCTTTACTTTTTTTTTTTTTTTTT